GAAGATTTTATATTCGCAAATGCCCACGAAAACATTCAAGGAAAGAGAAACCTAGAGGATTTGAAGACTCTCCTTGGCAGATTTCAAGGAAATAGGCAGAGAGGAAAAGAGGGATAGAGGAGGAGGGGGAATGGGAGGAGAGAGAGTGGGAGGAGGGAGAGTGGGAGGAAAAGGGGGGAAAGAGAGGAGAGATAGAGATTGATTTTCTTATCTATAATTCTTATGTGCCACAGCATAACTGAATTATAGTATTTAGATGCAAAATAGCAAACATTTTTTCTCTCTCTCTTGTGAAAGGTAGAGAGGGTCCTTATACTAACTCTGAGACTCAAGAGAAAGCTCTAGTTGATTTAAATTGATGAAAATCTCTTCTTGCTTTGCCTACCGTTCTCACAGTTGCTTTCCTGTCATTAAATCTAATCCTATGAAGATGTAAACAGACGTGCGTGCTACATCAACCTTTACTTTTGGATATTGTAAAGAGCTAAAATTCACAACAACAGTAGCAACAACCTCAATTAAAGTGTCTTCCCGTGGCAACAGAATAAAGAATTCCAGTGACTGAAGCGCGGCAGAGTAGAATAAAGCATAGAAGCCTGAAGAAAGCTGAAAGGAACTGCGAAAAATCGGGCTCTGAAAAGGAGAGAGAGAGAGAGAGAGAGAGAGAGAGAGAGAGAGAGAGAGAGAGAGAGAGAAGGGTTTTGTTGTTATAAATTTTGCTGGACTATTATAACTCCAGATAATATCCAATAAGAAGGTTCATGTGTGGTTCCACAAGGGTCTGTCTTACTTTATTGTCTGAAAATGATTTGACCTCCTAAGTTCCATAAGGCAATCTCATTTTCCCATGTAAGAATTCTTATTTTTAGCCGGGCGGTGGTGGCACATGCCTTTAATCCCAGCACTTGGGAGGCAGAGGCAGGCGGATCTCTGTGAGTTCGAGACCAGCCTGGTCTACAAGAGCTAGTTCCAGGACAGGCTCCAAAACCACAGAGAAACCCTGTCTCGAAAAACCAAAAAACAAACTACCCTGTAAATTTCAGGAAAATAATAAAAATTCTGCCTAACCATCAAGAAATGANAAGAACAAAGAAAAAAAAAGAATTCTTATTTTTTGTAAAATTTATTTTTGTTTTGTGTATATGACTCTTTTGTTTGTTTGTTTGCATTTATGTGCACAGTGTGTGTGCCTGGTACTTACAGAAGTCAGAAGAGGGCATCAGATCACCTGAAATTAGAGTTACAGATAGTTGTGAGCCACCACGTGGGTGCTGAGACTCGCACCTGGGTCTTCTGAAAGAGTAGCCAGTGCTATAACTGCTCAGCCACATCTCCAGTCCTGGCTACAAATTCCTCTGAGGAAAACATAGACTCGTGTGGTAAGCTTGCGCACTACCTTCTTCCTCCTCCGGAACTTGAGAAGAACTTGAAGTTGCCTTGTTAAGTTTCTTGGAAGTAAGTGAAAACAGATTTTCCCTTATTGAACTAAAAATGACCCAAATTTCCAAAATAGTCTGCAAAATGACGAATCTTGTTTCTTGGACAAGTCATTCATGGCAGTGTATAGGTCATTATTCAGTGCCGTGCCACACAGAGAGGTGGTCCACGCTAACCTTCAAGATGCTGGCGCTGGGAACACTAAGACATGTGCATATGTGAACGAGGAAGAACGAGCGTGCAATGAGGAAGCTCAGTGTTAGTGCTTGTGAGTTTACAGAGGAGAGCCCATGTTTTAGGGCAAGGACCGGTGTGAACAGAACAGAGATTTATAAAGACAGGGCATTCTAGGGAGTGAGGACTGGTACTGATTGGCATTTAAAACCACAGAGACTTGAAGTTAATTCTTAGCCGTGTAGCTAGAGAAATAAACCTGTTTTCACCTTGTTCCAAATCCAGAAAGTAGGGAGCATTCACTCCGTATCTGGTACATGTTGGCACTCGTGTGTCAATGTTGATATCAAAAGAAGGCACGGAGAAATGTGTATGGCGGAGAATGCTCATACATGGGTAAAGGGAAATACACACCTCATTTAGACATGTTCCTTCATGTGTCTATTCAATTAGGATTCACCCAAAGTTCAATTTATATTGGTGGGGTATGGTTTTATCTGTAGATATAAACAGCTCAGATTGGTGAGTACCTATGTGACCTGATTCTCATCATTGTCTTTATATTAAAAAAAAGGAACAAGGGTGAAACAGATATCAGAACATTGCAGCTATTCCTTCTGGACACACTGGCTGCCCGATAACTGACATTCACTGAATACTACATGCCAGCTGTTTTGAGCAGCCACTTTCAACCTCACAATGACACGTAACAGGTGCTGCCGTTATCCCATTTTATAGATGGAAAAGGGGAGGGATGAAACAGACAAGTACTTGCCCACGTCCCTGTAGCTGGCAGTTGGCATGGGCCGTCTGAATCTAAGGTTCATGCTTCTCTTCCTGTTTTCTCAGGAAGGGGACTATTTTTTGATGGTGGCATCAGAACTGAGCCCACTCTTCCTGTATTGGAATCTTTTGTGTGTTTTCATTAACTATTCTATGTCATCATGCAAGCAGCGGAGGTGGTTAGTAGCACTATCCATTCATTCATGACACATTTATCAAGTTCCTATTTAAGATCCAAGCAATGTGCTGAGTGCTGGAGTTGCCATGGTAACCAAGATAGAACTTTCTCCTGCTTTCATAGTTTATGGCTTTGGAATGAATCATACAAAAAGAGGCACTTGCAATACAATTTGATAAAGATTCAGAGACCATATCTAGGGTCTTAAGAATACATCAAAGGAGCCACCTACTCTGTGTTTGAAGGACTAAGACAGATTATCTGGAGGAAATAACAGCGAAGACATGGAGGATGCCAGGAAGAAATAAGGCAGGTGAAGAGGTTGGCGTAGTCAGGGAGTGAGAAGAAAGGGGCGGTTTGGAAAAGAGGCGAGGTTTACAGGCAGAGGAAGCATCCGGTCCACACTGAGTTCAGAATAGCAGAAGAAGAGTGTAAGCAGGGTTTGGTGGTACAGGCAGGAGTGTCGCAGGACCACTGCGTGTCTGCTAGACTCCCCGCGTCCTCACAAGCTAAGCTACCGAGTCTTGGATATGCAAGGGCAGAAGATGAGGCCAAGGACTAGGAGGTGTAGGAAGTGTAGGAGGTCCCTAATAGAGATGATTAATCAGCTCAGGGATTTTGGTCCTGGGCAGCCACCATAGTGCTATCTATCACAAGGGCTCAAGCAGCCATGTTCTTTCTTCCCCTAGATAGAATTCCTGAGACTCAAGACACTCTGGTGTCAAAAGTGCTCTCCTTCCCAAGTCAGTAGACTTAACCAACATCATCCCTGCTGCAGCTGCATCCAACTGCCTGCCATGGGTACTGTTTCCACTGGAAACAGAGCTGGAGCTGGCAGAGTCACCAGCGCCCCCTGTAGGGTGCAGTGGTTATCCCCATTGGTGCAGATGGAGACAGGGAAGCTCAGTGACATTCAATCACTTGTCACAAGCCACCAAGCTACAAGTGGCAAGGTGGAGCTGGGGTCTGGACAGAGCCCAATGCTTCTGTAACAACACAACAGCTTCCTCTCTGCCACTACTGCAGTCTTTTGAAGAACCCCGAGTTCTTTACGTTTCTTACTGGCTTCCTCTTCTCCATGTGAATACTTCTTTAACATTCTCTCCTGCTTCTCAGGCTGAGCTTGACCTGCCTAACGAGCCTAGCATGACCTTGAACTCCCCATCCTGCTGCTTCCACTTCCCAAGTGCTATGATTGCAGACGTGCACTACCCTGCCCACTTACGGGGTGCTGAGGATGAAGCCTAGAGCAGTCTGTCAAACGAGCCACCTCCCCCAGCACCTTACGGACCCTTGTTTTGAAGATGTTTTCCCAAAGTTGGTTCATAGATTTTAGGGGTGCATCTCTAAGAGTCCCCCATCCTCCTGGATAGGCAGGATTCAATCCAGACACCCTGAACTTTTGTATATGTTAAGTGAACAAGAGCTTGCCCCATCTGGCTACATCTCCAAGATCTGAGATGGCCTCTTGTTCTTCATGTCCATTAAGGAAGCAAGAGCTATGTTTGATGTTGGCCGCTATTTCTACAATCTCTTCAGAGGGACTGGTGACTCCTCATGCGGTGACTCTTGGCAGTGCTTGGCATCCTAAATTAGACAAACAGGAGGGGTTTCTTGCCTGTTTTTGTTCTTTGCATTTGTTCTTACCACTTTCATTACCACATTCATATTCAGTATCCATACTCGTAACTCTAGGGTTTTCTGACCCATCACTCCCTGCTGCCTCTCCTCACAAACACCCAGCAGCAGGTTTGGTGCACGCCAGCCACAGAAAAGGACGTCTTCACTAGCTAAGCCTCAAACGCAGGCCTTCATGACTGCGTCGCCCGCCTTTGGTTGCACGTCTCTCCACCAGAGGCTGAGCTCTGCTCGCAGTCAGGTGGCCCTGGCTCTGCGTCCTGGAGGCATTCTGGGTGCTATTACTGATTACCCTGCTCCTTCCTGGCCACAAACAGAAAAAGCAGTGCTCAAATTGTTTCCATTATCACAGAGCATTTTCTCAGAAATATCACTGTTTTTAAAAATGGATGGGGTGGGCATGGGATTATTTCCAGGTAACACAGCCATGGAATGCTCTAGAAAAAAGCTGGTTTCCATGGGGCCCACTACATAGTTTAGAGTCAACAGGTCTGAGTACGTGTACAAACTCTGCCTTTACTAACCCTGGGAAGGGGGCGAGACACTTCATTTTGGTCCACCGTCTGTAAGATATCAGTATCCAAAGCTGTTACAAGGAGAGGTTGCATTGCAGAGAAGTGGGGGGCTGTGACCTGGGAACTTCTGTTATTACTGTTTTAAAAAATATTTTCAAGAGGGTCTGGAGAGAGGCAGAGTGGTTAAGGGTACATACTGCTCTTGCAGAGGACTAGAGTTTAATCGCTAGCATCCACAGTAGGTGGTTCCTAACTGCCTGTAACTCTGGCTTCAGGGGATCGGACACCTCTGGATTCCACGGGCACCTGCACAAACTCTCCCACATGCACAGAGTCAAAACAAAGTAAATGCTTAAAATAGTTATCAAGAGAACCATGTGCCTGTCTGTCCTCGGGGTAACCAGGTATGTTCTGTTTCTCAGGAACCTCTTTCTCCCTACAAAACGCCAGTCTGCCAAGGCTGAATGTGATTTCGCTTTCACGAGTGTTTTGTCTGATAAAATGAAAAACTAAAGGGACATCTTTAACCTTATTAGCCTTCTTCAATCAGATAATTATATTTTCGTTACAGAATGACGAAGTGGAATTTGTCAGAACTGGCTATGGGAAGGACATGGTCAAAGTTCTCCATATTCACAGGGATGGAAAATACCACAGCATCAAAGAGGTGGCCACTTCGGTGCAGTTGACCCTGAGATCCAAAAAGGATTACCTACGTGGTGATAACTCTGACATCATCCCTACAGACACCATCAAGAACACAGTGCATGTCCTGGCGAAGCTCAAAGGGGTACAATCGTGCTTCAACACTTGCTGCTTCTTGGTGCAAATTCAGTGCAAGCTCGCACAGGGGTGGAACTTGCTTATTTTAAGCTCTCATTTCCTTTTAACCTATTTTTACATATATGCCATTTTTAAATTTTTCCTTTCTGCCCTAAAATTCTCAGGCTTACAGAAAAGCTTGTTTCATTTTATTCTTTTGATTTATCTCATTAGGTAGGAAGAAAGCTCCTGGGCAAATTAACCTCACATTGGAGCTATGGGCGAGCCAAGGCCGTGGGAGAATTTCAGACTAAATTTAGCATTTTTTTTTTGTGTGCTTTTCTTTGAGTCCTATCACTTTTAGACTGTGCGTTTGTAGCAGAAAGGGCATTGTGGTACAGTAAAAGAGAATATTGATCATAAGATCAATATTTAACAGCAGAATCTACTGTCCAAAAGTTTGTGCTTCCTGTTTTAGTTTCCCGATTGCTGCAACAAAATACCCCATGCTCCAGGGCGCGGGGGGAGCAGCTGAAAGACAAAGGGCTTATTTTAGCTTGTATAATTCAGAGGTTCTCAACCTTCCTGATGCTGCGACCCTTTAATAAAGTTCCTTATGTCGTGTTGATCCCAGCCATGAAATTAATTTCTGTTGCCACCTTATAACTGTTATTCTGCTACTGTTATGAATTGTAAGGTAAATATCTATGGTTTTCAATGGTCTTAGGTGACCCCCAAAGGGTCTCGACCCACAGGTTGAGAACTGCTGATAGCCCATCACTGTAGGAAGTCTTGGTAACAGGTGTATATGCAGTTAGGCATCCTCTGTGTGGTCAGGAAGCAGAGAGGGGAAACTGGCATTCAGTTTGCTTTTACCTTTTCATTTATTCTGGGATCCCAGGAGATGGGATGGGCTCACCCACATTCAGGGTGGGTCTTCTTCCCCTTATGGAAATGCTCACACAGACACTCCTAAAGACCTTCTTAGGGAACACTGGAGCCCATTTGCAAACCTCATGATAAGCTCCAGCATTACAAACACATTGAGAGAAGATTCTGGATGTAAGTTGCTTTTTGTTTATCTTCCAGTGTCTCCTGGCATGCAAAGCAGGCTTCTTTTAAACACAGAACCGTTCTGGGGAGGTGGCTCATCTGCCAAAAGACTGGGTGATCTTCCAGAGAACACTGGCTCCACTTCTAGCGCCCACATGGCTCACAACACCTGGAACGCCAGTTCCAGGGGCTCTAACACCCCCTTCCAGTCTCTGTGGCACCAGCCATGAACATAGTGCACACACGTGTATGCAGGCAAGACATATATAATAAAAATAACAAAAATATTTAAAAATAAAAAATGACAAGATAGAGTCTCCTAGGTGATCAGAATCCATGAGCACACCCAGGAATAGTGGAGGAAAAACAGGACCGGACTATTTCATCTCCTGAGATTCTAATTCTGTGTTTCTCTCATTGGAAGAAATCACTGATCAGGAAAAAGCCCCCTGTGAGCATTTGGCAATTACTTTTGGCTGGGTTTGCCAGTGGATGCCTGTAATCCCAGCCTTTGGGAGGACCACCATGAGCTTGATCCTTGCCTGGGCTACACAGAGAAGCCGTACCTTAAACAAATGAAACAAAATATGCTGTAAGCCAGATATAGAGGTTTATAATCTCAGAATGAGGCATAGGCAGAAAGATCATGCGTTCAAGGTACCTAGTTATGTTGTCAGTGAGCGGCTACCTCAAAAATTAGCGAAACAATTAAATCAGCCCAGGTCTTTTAAACGGGACATTTTTAAATGGACATTACCAGTGTTTCTTTTGTTTGTTCCTTTGTACAGATAAAGAGCATAGAGGCCTTTGCTATGAACATCTGTGAACACTTCCTTTCTTCTTTTAACCATGTCACCCGAGCCCACGTCTATGTAGAAGAGGTCCCCTGGAAGCGTTTGGAAAAGGTTCCGTCACATATGTTTCCAGTGTATTGAAAGAAATTGCTATGGTGGTTTGTGCTGGAGTGTGACTGGGAACCACTTTGTCCTCCCTTTCAGAATGGAGTCAAGCATGTCCACGCGTTCATCCACACTCCCACAGGAACACACTTTTGCGAGGTGGAGCAGATGAGGAATGGTAAGGAGCCAGTTTCTGTGGTTTTATTGTGCAAGAGACATCAGGCGTCTTTTGTTGATGGCTTTGCTTCTCTGGCCCATAGCAATTCTCTTTACTGACACAGAGGAAAATGGTAGAGGTTTGTAAACTGTTTAAATCTGACACTGGACCGAACATTGTGCCTTTGGATTGTACTTTACAAGGTTATCTGCCTTTTGCTGAAAGGTAGCGAAGAAAGTGAGTCTTTCTGCTACAAAGGTTGGAGTTTGAGTGGCAGAAATTTCGCATGACCCAGTTTTGAAGTGAAACATGGGGTGGGGGGGAGTAAAGGCTGGAAATGACAAGGATGCAAATTTCCAAATTTTCTGACTACTATTTTTGGTACAGTATCATGAAATAGTGATAGTAACCAATATTTGAAATTACTAATGTTTCCCTGACATTTTATTTGCATAATAAAACCCTAATAGTATCATAATCTTCTTACAATGAGTCTCATTTAAAATTGCAATGACTATTACATAATTGTATTTAGCAAGAAATTTAAAATTTAAATCTAACTATGAAACATTCTTATAACATAGTCCTTATTAGTACCAATAATTAATCTGAGCGAATAAGGGTCCCAAAACTGGTATTCTATTGATTTGTTGAGGTTGTCAGAAGCAGAATTAGATAATCAATTCAGATTATTTAATCTCTTCAAAACATGAGAACTTTGAAGCATAGCACCAAAGCTGGAAGAAACAGCTATCTCAACAGGAGCCATAGTAGTCATTAAGGATTCAGTGTTGACTTTGAACTTTCCTGTTTCTGATATGAGAGTCCCCTCTGTATACTGTGAATATGTTTTATTGCCATTGGTTAATAAAGAAGCTGATTTGGCCTATGGCAGGGCAGAATATAGCAATTCAGGAAATGTAAACAGAGATAGAGGAGGAAAGAAGGCAGAGTCAGAGTTGCCATGTAGCTGCCCATGAAGCAAGAGGTAAGTACCATGAAGCCTCGTGGTAAAATACAAAATAATAGAAATGGGTTCATTTAAGATGTAAGAGTTAGTTAATAATAAGCCTGAGCTAATAGATCAAAGAGTATTTAATTAATATTAAGCCTCAGAATTGTTATTTTATAAGCGACTGCAGGAGCTAGTGAGCAGGACCTGGTGGGTGGAGAGAAACCGGTCCAGGGAGACCAGCGGAATGGAGAATATTTATAGCTACATGTTTCTATTTCATTTTTTATCTTCTTTATCCCTTAAAATTTCTAACTATTTGAGTTAAGACTAGATACAGCTAAGTCTGACTCAACATTTGGATATTATCTCTAAAATTATTTATAGAAAAATTTGAAACATTGTGTTAACTGAAAAGATGACTTGATCACCAAAAGCTTAGTCATGTGGCAAAACTCTCTCTCGGAGCTGTTATCCAAAACAACTTGCCCTCCGTCTTGTCTTTCCTCCCTGTCTTCTTTTCTTTTCCCTCATTCTGAGTCGCTTTCCTCCTTCCTTTCTGATGTGTGAATTTAGAAGCAAAAACGCGAAACATATCCTAACTCACGCCCAACATTTTCTTCCTAAGCCACACTGACAACTCTCATGAAATTTTAAAGTCTAAGCCAGCTCTGCTTAACTTTTCTTTTTTTTTTTAAATAGTTTTAAAGTCTTTTAATCTTCACTTTAGGAAACCGAAGAGAAAACAAGGAGAAATATTTTTAATAATAAATTTAGCTTAATTCCAAATGTTATTCACTCGTTGAAATAGCAAGCCTCCAAAGTCATGTACACAGTGGTGTTAGCAATACAGCCTGGGTCACGTTTGCTAGATTACAAGTGCTGACTGACAACAGGTGGCTGGAGGCCACTCGATTGGTCGGCATAACTCTCGGCTGCTTTTCAGAGGCCTTTGGGAACTTAGCACACTCTTTATCCCCTTCTTCACCTCACTTTCAGAGACTAGAAACAACCAGAAGTAGACTTGAGCAGGCTGATTAAAACTAAATGTACTCGCGGAGATGTCATTCATTCAAGAGCATTGGGTCCCTCACTCATGCACTATCTACTAAGCAAGGAGACTGTGAAGACGTATTACCTGCACAAAAGGTGAGGGGATGTGCAGGACTTTTCCTGACCTCAGAGAACCTGTGGCAGATTTCACTATTGGAGATACACCTGTAAACAAATTCATCACACCCTGAAAGGCTAAAATCCACGGTTGAGGGATTAGAGGCATCGCAATGGAGCAGACACATTCCATAACTCAGCTCTTCCCAGGGTAATGTAGAAGGCTTTGGCAGAAGAGAGGAAATGTTTCCACTGACTTTGCAAAAATGATTTGCATTTTGCTGGCCATGAAAGAGGAAGGGTCTGCCTGAGAAGCAGAGGTTCTTAGAGAAGCAGGCTCCAGAGAGGAGCGAAAGAGGGGGCTAGGGTATGCTGAGCTCCTGACGCTCACATAGGACAGATAGTGATTTCATTGTTGAACAAGCAAAACAATTGTAGAACAGAACTAAGTCCAGTGAGTCTGATTCCTTGGGGGTCGCTGAGGGGGTCTCCTGTGCTGGAATGACATATATAGTCTAACTTAAAGGCAGTTTGCATGATAAAACATAGAACACATTCTAATTCCTATCAACTGAATCTCTAGTTAAGGCCAGAGAGGTCTTAGAGTCAGGATAGGCTGTGTTCGAAGTTGAGCTCCACTAGTTAATAGTATGATTGTGAGCCAGTGAGTCACGGGTCTTCAGTGGGTTTTTACTTGCAGTATAACAATCTGAGGTCCACCTCTACAGTCGTCCAGAGAAATAAAGGAGATGGTTACTATATTGACTTTATTAAAGCTGTAGGTATAGTATCTGGCATATAGGAACTTCTTAAATAGTAGCCATAATTATTATTATTTAGCTTGACGACAGAAAAGTAGAGGTCTCTCATAGTCAAATGAGTAAATGAGTGTGTGTGTGTGTAAATCTGTAAGGTCTTTGTCAGATGTTCATTTTGAATGTTTGTTTGTTTCCCAGCTGCTGGGGCTATTTTGGGAGCCTCTGGCATATTTAAGAAGTAGGACTTCGCTGGCAGAAGTAGGCGACCAGCTCTTGATTCTGACCTGCTCTTTGATTCCGGGGCAGCTGCCACACATGCAGCTTCTGCTCCACGCTCCCTCTACCCCGCAATGTCTCTGTTCTGCTATGCTCTCTCAGCCATCATGGGCTGAAACCCCGTGATACACTGAGCCACACAAAGCTTTCCTCCCTTACATTGTGGATTCGCTTTGCTCAGCAGTTTTGACCAGAGTGTGCTGAGCAGGCTGGAAAGGCAGCCTGTCGTGAGACGCCTGGGGGTTTGTTATAGAGATGAATGAGGCAGGAGAGGCAGGAGGAGATGTGCAGGCCGGCAGCTTATTGTCAGTCCCTGTGTGAGGCCTTTATGCAATGTAACCAGTGTGCCAGGGGTTGAGTGGAGGTGGAGGCTGAATGGAAGGCGTTATCAAAGTCGGATTTACAATGGAAGGACCGGCACTAGAGAGAATATACCCATGAATAAAGTGTGGAGGATAAAGATGGTCTGTTTTAGATTGCGAAGAGGGACATAGATTTGGGGACCATCAACGGGTGGACAATAGATATATGAAACCCAGCAAAGGAAATAGTTCCAGAAAATAGAGATATCATATAAAGCATATTGACCAGGTTCTGTAAAGGAACAAAACTGGTAGGATAAATATGTATATATCAAATGGTAATTTAGTAGATTGACTTACAGATTACAGTCCAGGTAGTCCAGCGGTTGTGGTCTCACACCGAAGAGCCCAAGAATCTTGTAGTTAGTTGCTGAGCCTGTAAGGTTGGATGTCTCGGCTGTTTAGACTGGCTCTGAAGACCTGGAGGGCTCCCAGAGAGCCACTGGTTGGAAGCCCCAAGAACCTCGTTCAAATACCGCTGTAAGAGTGCCTAAGTTCACGGCATCGGTGCGCTTGCCAACAAGAGCGAAGGCAAGCAAGCCAAGGGCAGAGGTTTCCTTCTTCCATGTCCTTTTATGTGAGCTGCCACCAGTATGCGCTGCCCACATTTAGGATGGGTCTTCCGGCTTCAAATAATCTGATGAAGATAGTCCCACACAGGAGTGCCTGGTGGCTTGGTCCCAGATGCAGTTCAGCTGTAAAAAAAAAAAAAAAAAAAAAAAAAAAAAAAAAAAAAAAAAAAAGAGGAGGTAAGAGGGCCCAGGGAAGATTCCTTAATTTAAGACTAGGGCAGAAGGCTGGTCTGAGAGACAGAGGAAGGGGGTGTCTGGAGAAGGTGGTGTCGTAGAAGTAGAAGAGAACCTCATTTTTATTAGGCTAGTTACGGGGTAGCAAGAAGTGCTGCAAAGAGACCGATATGTAACGATATGTAACAGCTCAGCACACGGCTTCCTCCTCCACGCCTGGTTTGTTATTGGGCTAGAGGTGATACAACTCAGACAGAATCCTAGGTAACCTTATTTTGTTACTTCCTATTTGGAGGGGGGGGGGAGGTCACCTTGATAATAAATAGCTATTTGGATAAGTAGGAGATGTAAAGACACTGGAAGAGAAAAAGAGGCAAGACCCCTCAGACATAAGAACCAGGTCATAAAGGGCCCCAACATTTCCTCTTGCAAGACTCTGACAGTCATGCCTCAAGGAGGGAGGCCATGTGTGGTCTCACTGAGTGTTCAAGCAGAAGATGAAATAGATGTGCTATCTGCCACAGAAAGGTTAAGAAATCTAGGTTAAAAGATAGCAAAAGAGGAATTCGGGAGTTGGTAAACATCCTTGGTGATTTCTACAAAGATATTCTCGGGCAGGAGAGTGGATGCGGAAGGTACCAGTAGCTGAGTCCAGGACGCTACTGTGATTAGGGAAAGCCGCGTTCTCTTACCAGCTGCAGGCCGGGAGTCAGAACCTGCCTGAGTTCTGATCAGAAGGCCGCCGCTGCTGCCCATGTTCTAACGCTGTGGCTCTCACCACACAGCAGAAAGAGCAGCCTCAGAAGCAGTTCAAGTCTTTTGTCTTTGTAGATGGCGACAGCGCTTCTGGGAACAGATAACCCTGTGGCAGTCTGCCCAGAAGTTCCAATCGACTGATCTGGAGCTCATGCCGCTCCGATATCCTGCAGGACTGGCAGGGCTGGAGTAAAGGGACAGCTATGCAGTAAATGAGTTCAAGTCCCCACGTGCATGGACGCAGCTGTGTGTCCACACAGGGTTCTTCAGGTGAAACTATTTGAGTCTCTCCTTTGAGACTAGAGGTGTATGATCTTTTTGTGGGAAAGTCCAACTCCTAATTTGCTTATTATCTAAGTATTAAAATGGAAGAAATTATGGCAGGAATTTCTGTTATAATCATCTTCATAAGCAACACCCAAGGAGAGATGACTCCGTGGCTAAGAACTCCTGCTGTAAAGGCATGAAGACTTGGTTTGAGCTGGGCGGTGGTGGCGCACGCCTTTAATCCCAGCACTCGGGAGGCAGAGGCAGGCGGATCTCTGTGAGTTCGAGACCAGCCTGGTCTATAAGAGCTAGTTCCAGGACAGGAATCAAAAGCTACGGAGAAACCCTGTCTCAAAAAATCAAAAAAAAAAAAAAAAAAAAAAAAAAAAAAAGACTTGGTTTGAATCCATAGTGCCCATTGCGTGGATGCTTGTGCATGGGACTTCAGTACTTGGAGGGAAAGATATTCTGATCCCGAGAGCTTTCGCAGGTCAGGCAGCCCAGTCAAAATGGAGAGCTTCCAGAGAGAGCCTGTCTCAAGGCAATTACGTGGAGAATGTTAGAAACAGACACATGACATCCTATTCTGGACATTGTACACATGCACAGAGGGGCATACACTCACCCACTCACATGCACACACACACACATAAACACACACATACATACACACACTAAAAAGAAAAAAAAGAAGCCATGGCCTTGTGTAGGTTTAACTGAGAAAATTATCATTAACTCATATGCTCCAACTTCCCCAGTGAAGGCCAGTGTTACAAACCCCTATGGTGTGTGGGCTTGCTAGGACGATAAGAATCCTCCCTCCCCCAGCACAGGTGCTCAGACACACACTCATCCACGTGACTCCAAAGGGATCCTCCCCAAGAGAACTAATGGGTTTCACCTGGTCGACTGCACTCCCTCCTGCTGACCTGAACAGTCTGAGAAGCCTGCTGAGTCTTGGATGCCTTAGATCTGGTGTTGCTGGAAAATTAATTATATTCTTCCTTCTCTGAGAAGTTAGACAAGCGGTCAAGTGAGAGTCAGCCGGAGAGGTAAGCAGGTCAAGTGAGAAGCACTGAGACACCTGCTTTCATCCTTTGACCCTTGGGTTGAAGTCTTTCCTCCGGTCCTTCCATAGGAGAAGTTCTTAGTAGACACAAGGTCCTAAAGTCGCCTTCCTCATCACCCAGTCAAACTAAAGTCAAGTTAGCCCTCTGCTGGTGACATCCTCTCTCTCTTCTGTAGCACCCCAACCCTGCTGGAATTGCACAGCCGGGGTTTTGAAGATTCTTGGGAGAGCAGAAGGCTCTACAGAGGCAAACATTATTTAGTTGATCTTTGCTTTTCCTCAGCCCTTTTCAAGTTTGCGGTTTCATAGTAGAATGATTTAATATAGTTTTAAAATATCTCCCTTTCAGCTATTTTTGTCCATTTTTGGAGGCGTTAACTGTGGAAGCAATTATCTTCTTCATGACAGGAATTCTCCCCCCTCAGAATCAGTAAAGCTTTGTGACTTTTGACACCCGATGCGTAGGTAAGGAATTGGGCTTGTTTTCTATTAACTCACAGTGAGTTCCTTTCCCTTAGAGAGCTTAAAGGGTTGGCGCATGCTTCTCCGAGAAAAAAAAAAAACACCATTTGCTGAGTGTGTAGGAGGACACTGGGAGCTAAAGAGATTTTGTTGTAGCCCTTGTGCAACGTGAACTCTTCTTGTGGCGTTACCCACGACCGAGGCGGGGAAGTGTGGGCTGGTTAAGTCCTCTCCTCGGATGGTACCCAGAGAAGGACACTGCTTCTGGTGGAATTACTTCTTGTGGCTCTAAATTGGGATCCTTTTAGAGTGTGTGTGGAAGTGTATTTTTAGTTGATGGCCCCATGAATTTGAAAGCCTCAGGTTTTTCCCAGTGCTCAGCGGGCTGGGGCACTGCCAACAGAGAAGATAAAATAAGCGCCCTGATTTCATCCAGCATGTCTAACATGGGCCAAGGAGGAAAGATTCTTTCAAACCTCAAAGACGGTAGTTTTTGTTGATGGTGTTCACCCAGTGGTGGAGGGCATCGGAGGAACTGGCTTCCGCTCTGACCAAACTGGGAGCGGTTCATTGTCCATGAGAACAGAAGACGTCTATTCTGTAAGGAATCCGATGCCAAACCACATTTGAAAATGCAAGGGCTTTCTCTGTTTCCAGAGTCTGCTAAGAAAAGAAACCATTTCAAGGTAGCTAGCCAGGGCTGTCACAGGGCTAGTGGAACAAGGATGGAGGTCTTTGCTTTCAGAGTCCGGGGAGCCCGTAGGGTGCAGGACTTAGACAGGTGGTTAACGCGGGCGTGGAAAAGCCAGCGGTGAAAAGACCACCGCGTTGCCTTTCACAGTGTGTTTTGTACACAGTGGCTGCTCTGTGGGGCCTCCTGTTCTCTACCTGAGGTGCATGTCAACTCCAAAGCCCAAGGATGGCTGCCGTCTCCATTTCACAGATGAGGAAATTAAGATATGGAGGGGTGATGTGCTTCCTCCAGGGGCACAGTTTTCATGCAGAGGGAGAGTGCCATGGTAGGGAGTTGCTAGGACTAAATGTAGGGAATTTGAATGCCAAGACTGGGGATTCTAGACGTGCGATACCACCCTGCACACAACCCAGCACCACCCTTTTCTGAGTAAGATTATGGGAGGAGCCAAAGTAGATGCTGGGGATGAAAGGCAGCTGCCCTGGAAGATAGGGAGAGTGACCATTAGTCCATCTCTCCCTTCACCTCTTCATCCTCCTTCAAAGGCTTCTACTATTTGTTTTCACTCCAGGCCGCCATATTCTGTTTCATTTCTTTGAGTTTCTCAGAGGAGTGGCCGTGGGATGCAGTCTGGATATTTGTAATGACCAGAGTCGCTATTTCATGGAAACTCACAGGAAATTTGTCCTTTGAAAGATTTATCTCTTTATCCTTAAAATTACGGATACTGTATGTGTCTCTGTTGAGCATGTACACACAAGCACAGGTACCCACTGAGGCCAGAAGCATCAAACCCCTCTGGAGCTGGAGTTAGAGGTAGTTGTGAGCCAACCACATGGGGGCTGGGGACTGAACGGGTCCTCTGCTGGGGCAATAATCATTCTTAGCGGCCAAGTCATCTCTGTAGTCCCTGTAAAAGTTTAAGGGATAAAAATCCTATCAAGATGCAAGGAGCCATTTCAGAAAGTGATGCTTTAACATTCAACGGATGATGGAGATGTTTTTCAGAGGCGGAGGCCTCCAAAGCCTCTGTGGATGGGAGCAGGGTACCCTCTGGTCTCCTGGGAAACCCGCTTGAAGTACTGAAAGGAGGCAAAGAGAGCTTCCGGAAGGAGAAACACGGCACAGATGGAGAATGAGCTGGGGGGCGGGGGATAACACACGGAATCTCATGGCGTGCTGCTGAATTTAAACCTCACCTCTGCCCACTTCTTAGTGTGCGATGGTGAGCACAGAAAGGGAAGTCTGCCGCATAGAAACATTTACTCTGTAGACTTCTGAGGACACAGTGAGAAAACACCTTGGGAAGGCATCAACCAAAAGCTTAGAAACTGGATGGGTTGGGCCAAAGTCGAGGCCTTTTTTCCTCTCCTTTGCTACCTGGAGTGTGAGAAATGAAGGGTGTAGAGAAGGCTCACGGCAACACTGGAGGAAGTCCACTGTCTAGGCAAGAAAGAGAGTCCATTGTTGTGTTCTCGCTCCTTGACACAGGTGTGGTTCTCCAGGGTTTGAGGCAGACAAACTACAGTTAGACACTGTCTGTGTGGGACCAGTGTCTTTATAGGTTGAGAATCTGGGCTGGGGACGCAGTGTGGGGGTGGAGCACCTGCCTACCATGCAAAAGACCCTGGGTGCTTCAGTAACAAGAACCAAAGAAAAAGAACAAAAAAAAAAAAATGAAATCAGACAAACCTGGGCAGCTGAAGGCGCAGCTTCCTCTTGGTCTGTCTTCAAGGACAGCATCCGATCAGAACTTGTAAAAGTTGAAGTTTTCTGTCAAGCCGGTTTATCCTAGGACATGCTATACAGAACGCTCTATTTAATCAGAACATCGGAGGGAGAATCAGCTGATCTACCACTAATCTTCCGGCCATTGCTTCCTGATGGCAGGACGCGTGCAGCTTTGAAAATATCGGTATAGGCAGTGCTTGTCTGGCTCCGGAGTGAGTCACAGCGATTGAAGCCACACAGGTGGTAAGGAAAACCAGGGCAGTTTTGGAGAGCTTGGTTGGTGTCTCCGACCCTTCTTGCTATATAACTCCAGTTGTAGCTCAGGCTGGCTTCTAACTTGTGGCAATTGTCCTGCCTCAGCCTTCCAAGCATTGAAATTATAGACGTGGGGCTTCTAGACTTAATTGTGGACTATGAATTTTCTTCTCCCTTTACTAAGAACATATAGTGATGCCCAGAAACTCTGACTTTTGACTTTTTGACTAGACAGGCCATGAAGGATAGCCATCTGTCAGGACCAACTTAGAGACTGAAAAGAAGTAGCCTTAAGAATCATGTTATGGAGCTGGGCGGTGGTGTGGCGCACGCCTTTAATCCCAGCACTAAGGAGGCAGAGGCAGGCAGATCTCTGTGAGTTTGAGGCCAGCCTGGTCTACAAGAGCTAGTTCCAGGACAAGCTCCAAAGCCACAGAGAAACCCTGTCTTGGAAAACCAAAATAAATAAATAAATAAATCGTGCTATGGGACTTCAGGGGTTTTCAAATGCTCCCTAAATGTCCTCTGTCCTCACCAGCTACACACACAAATAAAGTCATGCTGGTATTCACTATGGAGTTTGCAGTTCTGCAGATTTCTCAGTAATGAACTTCCGGCTGTCCATCCAAACTCCCTCACCTTCTGAGAGCTTGCTCAGGAAGAAGGCTGCTCTGCCTGGCTTCTGTTGCCAGCCACGACTTCTCCTGGGAGGAAATCTTCCTTCCCAGTGTGTCAGTGCCGTGTGCTATCTAGGTCCCACTACACTGCTAGACCTACAGTTCTTTTCTATATGTAAAGATGAAGAACGCCCCCTCCCTCACTCTGTGCAAAGCCTCTGTCATCTGGGTCCTTGCATGGCTTAAATGCATTCGTGAGAACCCAAGGTCAGTCACTGTGGCATCAAGGAAAAGGAATCCAAGGCTTCCTCTGGGTGTAGTCTGACCAGGAGCAAAGCCAGATCTGAATTCTCTACTTCTCTCTCCTTGTCTCTTCTGTCTGTTGTATAAATCTGAATCTGCCTGCCTGCCTGCCTGTCTTGTCAACCCAGCTGACCATGTGTCCCTAACAAAGGGCTTTTACTCTGTGTTTATTGATGATTTGGAAGGAATGGCATGGGGAAGGGATGAAGGATGCTTTTCAGAAATCTTCAACAGAGTTCTGGAAGGAATGAGGCTCTACTGACCCCAGCTGACCCAGACAACAAACAGTGTTATCAAGCCGTATCTGTGTGCTGCGCTCACTCTTTATGGCTGATTGCTATTTCATAGGGCTGCTTTTGCTCTATTTACTATTTTCAGCAAGTGAGAGTTATAACACACATCGATTGCTCTCTGCTCAGGGCGTGGGTCCAGTTTCAGATTAAAGCTATACATCAGCCTAGGTTGTAAAAGTAGATTACCTGGGAAATTCAAGGCAAGTAAGGTTGGTTGTTATGCTGTTTTTGTGAGAAGCAGGTTAAACAAACGGGCTGAGTACCCAGTAGGGCAGCAGTCGTAAGTCTTGAGTGACATCAGTGTGCATTCTGCACTCTGGCCATGATGAGGCCCAGCAAAAGTTCCAGTCTCTTAGAAGGCCCTAGATGCTTCTGTAATAGGATGCTGCCACAGGTCCTGAGCTAGCACTACTTGGCACGCAGTAAGCTGCATCCTCCAAATGTGCTTATCCACCATCCAGCCCCTTTGAGGGAAGGTGGCAAGCCATCCCTTTCATCATTTTTATCCTTTCTCCAACCCCTGATACCCACGAAGCAGCTTCAGCCTAAAGCCAGAAGTCTCCATGGGTATCAACTGATAACAATGGATATCATTGACGATACAGGTCAATGCCTGCATCAGCAACCTTATTTTTCCTCTCTTTGATCTCAGTCAGGTCCACACTATTGTTCACTCCTAAAGCTGTCTGGTCTTTGCTGAGCTTATATCCCCCAGGGCATCAAGTGTTCTCAGGGTGTAGTGAAGCCTGTCACCAGGCACTGTAGATCAACCAGGAGGACACATTGCAGGAAAGACAGACAGACTCCTGAGGATCCCACCAACTCATGTCAGAGCCACTGATGTTGGAATGGCAGGCACCTTGTGATTTGTAAGGTGATTTGGCTGAGATGTCCTCACAGGTCCCCGGGAGGAAACCAGTCCAACATGGATGGGTATATCCTTGGATCTTCTCTTCTCCTCGGGCAGGAGAGGGCTGAGAGCCTGGAAATCCATAGGGAAGGAATCCCAGGACACGAGAAGATGGAGAGACAGTGTGTGTGTTTCTACAGCCAGGATCTTCACGGCTGTTGTAGTTATCGGTAGCGACACCGTTCTGCTGGTGCTCACCCTCCCTCCCCTTCTGTCTGAAACAGGACCTCCAGTCATCCACTCTGGGATCAAAGACCTCAAGGTCTTGAAAACAACCCAGTCGGGATTTGAAGGATTCATCAAGGACCAGTTTACCACGCTCCCCGAGGTGAAGGACCGATGTTTTGCCACTCAAGTCTACTGCAAGTGGCGCTACCAGAGAAGGGACGTGGACTTTGAGGCTACGTGGTATGAGAAGCCAGCACTGGGAGCTAGGACTGGGCCAGGTTAATGGAGTCTTGGGTCAAAGAAGAAACTTAGCAGCTTGTCAACTCAACTTCCTAGTTCTTCTGAAACCCCACCCCCGTGTGTGTGTGTGTTTGTGTGTGTGTGTGTGTAAGTGTGCATGCACCTGTATGCATGCGCATGTGGAGGCCAGACAACAACTTGAGGTGGCTTTTCCCAGGCGTTATTCACCTCAGTGTTTGTGACCGTCTCTTACAGGGCCTCGGACTTGCTTGTTAGGCTGGGCTTGCTGGCTAGCCCAGGATCTTCCTGTGTTCTCCTCAGGGCTGGAGTTAAGCATGCAGCATAATTTGCAGCTTTTAATGTGGGTGCCGGAGATGGGACTTAGATCCCTATGCGCATATGGCAAGCTATCTTCCCAGGCTCCCTTTGTCAGATTGTATCAGAGGCTCTCAGTCATTAGTGTGCCGTGGAATTACTCCAGACATTATTAGAATAAAGGTCACTGGGCTCACCCCTGGGCCCCTGGGAGGATTTGCATTGCTAACAACATCCCAAGTGACATTTCTGCTGCTGCACTCCATCAATGAAGATGACCTCCAGCCTTCCAGCAATACAGAAGCCCTGACCCAAGCTTTCAATCCCTTCCAGCTTGCCAGAGACTTTCTTGGTTTCAATACTGAAACTTGTATGTTCCAGGAAACCCCTTGGTTTTGGGGAAATGGTGACAACTGGTCACTCACAGGCTAAGCTCCAAGTTCTCTGATATTCCTATAAGTGTTTTGTTAATGGGGTTAAGGAGAGAGCTCATTCAGTAAAGTATTTGTACGGCAAGCATGGGGATCTGCATCTGAGCATCAGAACTCACACGTAAAAGGCTGGCATCAAGGTGTGTAGTTGTAACCCAGCGGTGGGGAGATGGAGCCAGGCGCATCCATGCAGCTCGCGGGACATCCAGCCTGACTGAATAAGTGGAAAATTCCAGGTAAATATCAAAGACCTGGTCTTAAAGGAAAAAAAAATGGTGAGTGTCTGACAAAGGCACCTGAGGCTGACCTCTGTGCTCCAGATGGATGCTTACACGTATATATGCGTCTGCATACATGGATATGCACACAGACACATACACACAAACACACAGAGACACACACAGACACAGGCATACAGACAGACACACAGACACACACAGGTACACAGAGACACAGCCTCACACACACAGGCACACAGACACACACACACACAAACACACACAGAGATACACACAGTCTCACACAGGCACACAGACAGACACTCACACAGAGGCACATACACAGGCACACAGACACACACAGCCTCACACACAGGCACATAGACAGACATACATGCAGGCACACAGACACACACACAGGCACATAGACAGACATACATGCAGGCACACAGACACACACACAGGCACACACACACAGGCACACAGACACATACACAGGAAGACAGATATACACACACACAGACCGTGTAAATGTGTGAGTTTTATGCTGTCTCTGACAAGGGATTGTAGGCTTCTGAACACTCAGACCTCATTTCTTTGCTGAACCGCTAATCCTTAGACACTTCTACCCCTAGATGAGCTGGAATCTGTTCCTTCTGCACAGAGCATCCTCCCACTGGAGTTCTTATCTGCTCTTTTTATTATGCGACAGGCTTTTAAGTGCTTGAAGAAGAGCCTCACCCTAGTCCTCTTTTCGCTCTAGAGCTCTCCCTGGGTAGCTGGAGCCTTCTGTATCAATGCTGAGAAGATACTCGGATTGAAGGTGCCAAGCAGGGGAGAGCTCCAGGCCTCCCACTAAAGACAAAGGACTCAGAGGAGATGGTTTAAGTTGTGAGCTCAGAGTCATCATCTCTAAATGGGGGATAATCACCCCTCAACTGCATTAGAGATTTGTGGATTTTAATCACATCGGTGTTTGGCTTATAGGATGACACTAAGACCCCTGAGGCAATAGTTCAAGGATATAGCCCTGCAAAGCCTGGAGAGGCTGTGAGTTTGGATGTGTGTTCCTTCATACACAGTCTGCATACATGGTAGATGATTGATGCTGAAATGCTATTTGGCATTGGTATCACTCTGTGAGAACAGTTAGGTGCTTAGTGTGCATGTGTGTGTGTGTGTGTGTGTGTGTGAGAGAGAGAGAGAGAGAGAGAGAGAGAGAGAGAGAGAGAGAGAGCGAGAGCACACAAGAGGGAGATGTGAAGTGAATTTTGCTTATTTTCATTTTGGCATTACAGAAGAATAATCCTTTCTAAAACCATCCATTCAATGGTTTTTGGGTACTTCTACTTTGGGTTTTCTACTTCTTAGCTGTATAATGCATTCCTAACAGATTCAACCAGCTCCTTCAGTCTTCTCCCACCCTGTGTTCTAGGGGCACTGTCCGGGACATCGTCCTGCAGAAATTTGCTGGGCCCTACGACAAAGGCGAATACTCACCTTCCGTGCAGAAGACACTCTATGACATACAAGTGCTGTCCCTGAACCAGGTTCCTGAGGTATGCTTTGTCACTTGCCCTTCTGAGGATGGAGAGAAACTGTGTCTCCTGTCAGCTCCGAGGAAGAGTGGAGTGTTAAAATAGGAAAGTGGAAGACACATGAGAAGTGACATCTGTTGTTGTTCAAAAGCTTGTTATAGCAAGTGAGAAGAGCAGAAAATGGAAAAATCTGTTCAGCCTAAAAACACAGGCCGCTGCCACAGGGCTTCAGGTCTGCTGAAAATTCTTTGAGCTTCCTCAGCCTACCGCAGACTTAAACTTCAAATTCAGGCCACTTCCATGCCTTGAGGGAGAGATAACTAGACAGAGGTTTTACGTTTCAAGATATGAGTGATAGATGTAGAGAGATTTACTCCTTCCTTCCTTCCTTCCTTCCTTCCTTCCTTCCTTCCTCCCACCCATCCACCCACCCACCCATCCATCTATACACCCACCCACCCACCCATCCATCCACCCACCCACCCATCCATTTATCTACCCACCCACCTATCCATCTATACACCCACCCACCCCACCTATCCATCTATACACCCACCCACCCCACCTATCCATCTATACACCCACCCACCCATCCATCTATACACCCACCCACCCACCCATCCATCTATCCACCCACCCATCCATCTATCTATCTATTGATATCTCTCGACATTGTGCCTCTAGCAGGACTCAAGGGATACAAGGATAAGCTAGACATTGTCCCTATACTCTAAGAATCCATCATTAATTGAACAAAGAAAACAAGGAAGTTTAAAAATATATTGGCAATAGGCTAGTATGGACATATGGGGGAAGAGAGTCTAACTCAGGTATAAGGGGCAGTACCAGACAGATTTTCTAGAAGGAAAGGGGTGTGCTAAGTCTTCAGAAACAAGCAAGAGTAATCTGGGTTTATACTCAAGGGTGCAGGAGCAGCAGCACCAATGCAGAGACAGGAGATAGTACGACATAGACATTTACTGTCAAGGGCCAGCCATCTGTGGCATGCTAGGAAGGAAGTATTTTCCTGTGTGCAGGCATACGGTGGCAATGAGTCAAGAGGACATTTCTAGGCTTATTTATAGTCTATGCTTTATTTGGAGAGCCACCGAAGGTCACTGGGTTGTTACAGCAAAGTACAGCATGGCAGGATTTGCATTCTGGAGTCATCACTGGTAGCAGTACGATAGAAAGCATGACAGACCACAGGCCAGGAGTCCCGTGGAATGAAGTTATAGAAGTATGGCTAAGGCCATGTGGAATGAAGGGAAAGAAGCATCGCCTGAACCAGAGGGACTTCTCTACCTTGGCCTAGTACTTCATGCCTTCTGCTGCCTGCTCCGGGCAGAGCTGGAAAAGCTAAGGCAGCGAGCTCTTAACGGGCTCATGGCTGCCCCAGGATTTTTTTTTTTTACCCAATAGCCTGGAGGCTTGGGCACATCTCTCCTAGAGACCCACTTTGTCCTTGGAGGCTTCTGCCACTGAGGTGCATATTCTTAGGGGCAAGAGAAATGGATGTGGCTTGTCGTACCAGGAGAATATCCATCCGTATGATCCATGAAAGAAGATAGTTTGGCCCAAGGCCTGGGGCTGGCTTTTCCCAAGTCCTGGCACAGTACCACAAAGGGTCAGAATATTAAATCACAACCTGGCCTTATAGGCTTAGCAAAAGTATTTTTGTAAATCAGAAAGGCAGAGTTCACTCAACCTTTGCCATGTATATGGGTTTGCAGTTTTACACTTATCCTAGGGCCTATCAATGTTAGGGATAATCCTGGGAGCCTGAGCTTTTCCGAGTTTTTATACTGAGGGGAGAAGAACAGGCCTGCCACCTGTCTCATAAGAAGACTAGTGGGGGATGGTGATACAGTGACGGGCAGCAGAGGAGCATGGGAGAGCACCTTAAAGATACAACCATGGTCACAGGAAGACGGAGGAAGGGAGGGACTCTCCAGTGCCAAGCATAACATATGCTCTTGTGGATTCCAGATAGAGGAGATGGAAATCAGCCTCCCCAACATCCACTACTTTAACATCGACATGTCCAAAATGGGACTGATCAACAAGGAAGAGGTAAGAGGGCTTTCAAAACACCGGAAGCATATTTCTGCCTCATCGTCTTTCAGTTTCCTCGTCAACTGGGGACAATATCACCGCCTAAAACCTGTAGCAGCTGCTGGCTGTGGGGAGTATTTATAGCCGGCACTGATTAGAACCCTCTTCAGCGCCGGGTCTTTCAGGGCCCGAGGCTGAGCACTCTAGAAGTGGATGAGTGATTATAGAGGAGAGCTGTAAGTTGCAGGGGGAACAAAGAGAAGGAACAGGGTGTGCCCAAGGAAACAGCTCTGAGATCTCCTTGGGAAGTGGCATGGAAGGTCGCAGCTGCTTTATTCTTCCACCGCCAGGCGATGAGGAGAAGGCAAGATTGTATTTTCATTCTCTTTTATTGCGCCCACCTTTTGATTAAATAGCCAATTCGGGAGCGCACAATACACTTGGGAGAGATGAAAGTGTGTTTGTGCTACAGATGGCAAGACTAAGAAATTCGTGTTTTTCAAAGGGAACCCTTGTTTCAGGAGATACACCGCTCTGACTTCTTTTTAGCCGTGACAATCAGATTGTCCTGCGAGGCAGCCAGGAGCTCTGATTGGTGGCCTCCGCGGTCACTTCCTGGGAGATCAGAACTGACCCTGCACCATGGACATTTTCAGTGATTGGCACTTTGAGTCATCTGCAGCATCATTTTGGGGAACTGCGTTTACTGTATGTGCGGGGGTAGCGAAGAGACCGTCCCTGCTAATGCACCCCACATGCGTGGACGCACAAGGTTAACAGAAGAGGAGCTCTTACACTCTGGGGCTTCTGACCCAGGAGACTTTCAACCCCTCTGACCAGACACCTGATTTCTCTTTTGCAAACAGTGCTGGTGGGCTCCGCTGGCTCTGCACCACCAGCCGCGGCGGCGGATGCTTGCCCGGGCGCTGGAAAACAGGCATGAGGCTTACGTACCTTATAAGAAATGGTAGAGGGCCCTGGATGACAGGAGAGGGAAAGTCTGGCCCCAAGTTCATTGAGCTGAAAGGACAGACAGCTCTATTTACCTTAAGGAAGGGAAAATGGCAATGAGCCTCACTTGTGAACGAGGACAGAACACTTTTTGGTGTGATTACTCGCTAAAAGGTGGGGATAGAAAACAGTCTGGACCATGTCTGCCAGAGGCAAACAATGAGTTCCAAACAGAAAAGGATCTGATGAATGGCTCCCAGTGAAGTCGAGAGGGTTTCTGAGGGGTCCCCTGAGTCTTAGGACTGTATGCATCCCCACCAGAGCTGGACGTGGATGAGTCTTTGTGGAGGGGCTCGGAAGTTGCAGTGAGGAATATAAAAAGAAGCTGCAGAAGATGACCCTTCCTAGATCCCAGCAGGACCGGGAAATAGGAAGCCCTGAGTTCTCTGCAGTAATAATAATAATAATAATAATAATAATAATAATAATAATAATAATAATAATAATAAAACAACCTGTGCCTGAGCAGTGTGCTCACACTGAGGGGGCTGGCTTCAGTCACCCAGCTGTCTGGATCTGTTTAGTATTACACTGCCAGCCCTGTGGCCCTCAGGTGATGTGCAGGGAATGGCTGCTGCTTTAGAGCTAAAACCAATGATATCCAAAGTGAGTAGTCTAAAAAGGTCAAATTTGTTCACTGCCTTTTAAAAGGCAGGACTGTATAGTGCATTTAGAACTATATCATAATGGCTAACACACAAACAACATGCTTCTTGGGGGCAGGTGAAGTGGCTTGGTTAGTAAACCACTTGCTGAGTAAGCATGGGGACCCAAGCTTGGTTCCCCAGCACCCATGTAAACAGCCACATGCTGTAACACGTGCCAGCTGTGACATGCGTCAGCTGTGACATGCGTCAATAATTCCAGCACTGAGGAAGTGGGGGCCATAGGACCCCTGGAGCTCACTGGCCAGCCAGCCTTGCTAAATTGATGAGCTCTAAGTTCAGTGAGAGACGCTGTCTCAAAAAACAAGGTGGAGGTCTGGAAGATGGCTTGGCAGGAAAAGCACTGGATACACAGGCCCTGGTGACCTGAGTTAGAACCCTGGGACCCATATAAAGGTACAAGAGAGATGCAACTACACAAAATGTCCTTCTGACCCCCACAAGAGTAGTGTGACACACACAACCCCCTTCCCAGTTCTTACATGCATGTGCAAGCGCGTGTGCGCACACACACACACACACGAACAAATACATGAATATCATACACATATACACATTGATACATATATATGATAGCCCAAAACAGCATAGAACACTCTCAAAATTCCTATATTTTTCGAAACATCAACTCATTGACTATTGAAGGGAAACCTGGCACTGCTGGACTTGAGGTAATTTTACTGCCCAGTACTCAGTTTCGTCCATGACAACCCATAACATCCTTGCTTTAATCCTGGATCTTAGAAAGGGGAACGCTGTCCTCAAATCCCTGAAGTTTCTCTGTGGTTCTTTTACAGGTTTTGCTGCCACTCGACAATCCCTACGGCAAAATTACTGGGACAGTCAAGAGGAAGCTGTCTTCAAGGCTGTGACATTGTGGATCCAGTCAGTTGTGATGCTGGAGATCACTGTGTGCTGACCTACAAGAAAATTCAACTGAGGACTGATTGCTTTCTTCTGTGTGAAACAATTCTTTCTTTGTTCCTAGTTAAACAAGGCATTTTGTGGATCTCCGTGTTCCAGGTACAGCACGCTCCATGGCTGTGGCAAGTTTCCTGAAAACTCTCTGGGCAGTGTTGGAAGAATCACAGTGATAATTATCCTTTCTGTTCTTTGTTCTGTCTGCCTTAGAGTCGGTCTTTAGAATCAGATCACTAATAAAGTAATCATGAAACAGTGGTGGCACCACCTTGATTGACTCGAGGAGCAAACGCTGTTGTCAGCCTACTGAGTCTGGGTAGTACAGAAAATATAACACAGTCACATGAGAGGACACCATGGTGACTTCAACTGACTGAACGTTTGTGGTCTTAGGAACTCTGGCAGGCAGACAGAATGAAGCTCCTACCCTAGCTGAGGAGGTTCTGGCTTTCAGTTGCTGCTGGAAGAGGGACATTAAACTTTGTTTAAGGGTGTGGCACCTACTACGTCAATAGGACAGTTTCCGTGCCTAGAAGTAATCAGATAAACCCAAACTGGCCCCAATGAGAGAAAGGGAGAGAGAGAGAGAAAGAGAGAGAGAGAGAGAGAGAGAGAGAGAGAGAGAGAGAGAGAGAGAGAGAACATGAAGTTGGGCAAGTGAGGAAGACCTGGGATTCCGAGATGAATTTGGATGGGAGATGAATATGATCAAAATATATTGTATAAAATTCTCAAATAATTAATAAAAATTATTGAAAATAAAAATTATGCTTTTAAGTTCCTCTACCATTTAGCATGAATAAAGACAAGAACATTTCTGCATTCTTTAAAAAAAAAAACCCTCTGAGCTGGGCCGTGGTGGCGCACGCCTTTAATCCCAGCACTCAGGAGGCAGAGGCAGGCAGATCTCTGTGAGTTCTAGGCCAGCCTGGTCTACAAGAGCTAGTGCCAGGACAGGCTCCAAAAGCTACAGAGAAACCCTGTCTCGAAAAACTAAAAAAAAAAAAAACCCTCTGGTATATATTATTGATGATTTATTTCTGGCCTAATAATGTTTTTATAACAATGCTGTATTGCTTTTATGATTTTTACAACCCTAGGAGAACACTTAGCACATACTGGGGCATTAAAATAAGTATATATTTGTTGAATTAGGAGCAGCGGGGCTGCATCCCTGGCACCCGGCCGCCCGCATGGCTAGGTTATGCCCTGAAATAATTACATGGAAACTGTATTCTATTAAACACTGCCTGGCCCGGCTAAGTTCCAGCTTCTTATTGGCTAGCTCTTACATATTGTTCTAACCCATTTCTAATATTCTATGTAGCCCACGAGCTGGCTTACCAGGGAGGATCTTAACCTGCGTCTGTCTGGAGTGGGAGAATCATGGCGACTCCCTGACTCAGCTTCTTTTTCCCAGCATTCTCTTCTGTCTACTCCGCCTACCTAATTTTCTGTCCTATGAGGGCCAAGGCAGTTTCTTTATTATTAACCAATGAAAGCAACAGATAAGATACAAGACCCACCTCCATCATATATTGTTTTTCCGTGAATAATGTGTCTCCCTCTGATGTGAAGAGCCACTTTTTATAAGCCAGTCAACAGACAGATGGATGGATATGCACATGGGAAGACAGATAGAACACACGAGACTTCTGGGTAGCGGGACTCAGGGATGAGATCGGCTTTGGGAGGTGTGCTCTTCTGATTCTTCCCACTGTGTACGTACCTATTGCTCTCATGATCAGAGGAACAGACATGTAAGTGATGGCTTAGGCATGGATACAGACTTGACGGGTTAGCTTCCCATCGGTCGGCTTACACTACCATTGCACATATTCCACGAAGCTTACAAATGACAGCTTTGGAAACCCAGAGGTAAAACCCGTGTAATGAACAGTCTACACCACTCCCCTGCAGTGGTGCTTTCTTGTCGGGGCCACCAGCCTGCACATAATGACAGAGACTTATTAATTATGAAAGCTTGGCCTTTAGCTTACGCTTTCCCCTAGCTCTTATAACTTAATTAACCCATGATTTTTAATCTACGTTCTGCCAGGCGGCTTGTTACCTGTCTCTGTCTTACACATCCTGCTCTCCCTGTGTCTGACTGGTGAATCCCGAGTGCCTAGATTCCTCCTCCTCTTCCTCTGTATTCCCAGAAATCCCCCTTCTCTGCTGCCTAAATATCGGCCATTCGGCTCTTTATTAAACAAGTCAGAAGACTCCTTAGGCTGAGACACATCTTTAGGGTGTACACAAATATTTCCCAATGCTTTCCTCTCTTTTTAAATGTCCCTTTAGTTTTTTAATTTTTTTTTAGTTTTATTTTATGTGCATGAAGGCTTTGCCCAAATGCCTATCTGTGCACCATGCGTATACTTGGTTTCCACAGAGGCCAGAAAAGGGCACTGGATCCATGGGACTGGAGTTACAGTTGTAAGCTGTCCTGGGAACCGAACCTGGGTCCTCTGGAAGAACAGCCTGGGCTCTTCCCCACTGAGCCATCTCTCCAGCAATCCCTTTAAACTCTACAGCTTTTAGAAATGTTTCTGTGTAACTCTCAGTATTGTTGATAAATTGCTTCATCCACCTTTGTCCCTCTTGTGCCTTGGGTGCTGCTGGTGTTAGATTTCGATCACTGTAAAGAAACACTTGAGGCAATTAACTTTAAAGGACGAAGATTTATTCCAGCTAAAGGTTTAAGAGAGCCCAGGGGGCCGCTTTCCTTTGGGCCTCTTGTGGGGATGATGCATCCTAACAAGGGGGAGCACACAGAGGATATTATGCCACAGCCCAGAAGCAAAGAGAAAGAGGAAAAAATGTGCCTCTGTAATCTGTTTGGAGGGTATGGCCTAGTAACCTAGGACTGTCCCACAGGGTCCCCGCTCTGCAAGGCTCCACTGCTTCCAATACACCATCCTGGGACCAAACTCCTTTGGAGACACTTATCCAAATCATAGCCAGGGTGGTTACTGGTTAAGATAACTCAGTAAAATCCTGCTTCTGCCTTGTGATAGCCCAGTGGTTCTCAACCTGTGGGTCACGAATCCTTTGAAATTGAATGACATTTTCACAGGGGTCCCCTAAGACCACTGGGATGCACAGATAGTCATATTACAATTCATAACAGTAGCAAAATTACAGCTATGAAGTGGCTACAAAAATAATTTTATGCTTGGGGTCACCACGGCATAAGGAACTGTATTAAAGGGTCTCAGCATTAGGAAGGGTGACAACCACTGAAGCAATTCTCACCTGTGAAATAGGGTTGACAATAGAGCCTACTCCATAAGTCTTTTGAGGATTAGATAAATTGAGGTTTATAAAGATGATGGTAATATTTGTGTCTGACATATAGAAATTTCAATGTAAGTATTTACTGAATGTAATCAATGCCAGCCTTCTTTCTACAGTTGTGAGACCCAAGTGTGAAGTCTTCAGCAGTCTGGGCGGGTCAGGTGAGAGGTGAAAGGTCTCCGGAGTAGTAACTTATAAGACGCTGGGAGCTGGCGACCAGCTGTTCTGTGCCCCCTCCGAAAGAGCACAGATCAAACGGATGGACAGGGAGAGTGCCATGCCACACTGAACGCTCATGGGACCTTCACAACCAAACAAGGAGGGATTTCAGAAGCGGAAGCCCATGTCAGGGCAGAAGGCCCCCCGAGAAAGAAGTCTTTGCCTGTTTCAAACATAATTGCATTTCCCTTCCCTTGGATGCCACACAGCCACAGCAATGGAGGATATTACAAACCGGCTTGTTGTATTGCCTAGTCCTTTCAGTTGTAATCAAGTGGGCAGACCTGAACTGTAAGCATCAGTGAAGTCAACTGTATCGTACTGTCGATTGGGTTGCTCTGGAAGGATACAGATACGTTCCTCTGAGCAAAGCTACCCACACACCCCCATTTTCTCTCCATATCCTTCACTGGCCCCATCTCAAGGGCTTCCACGCAGGACCAGGGAAGATGATGGTGGTGTTTGGGAAGGTGGTCAGTGCAGCAGCCAACACTCGAGGCTTGGGGTTCCTGCTGAGGCTTGATCTCTACCATCTATACCATCTAAATCCCATCCGTGGCGAAAGACTTGGAAAAGTAACTCCCTTCCTTCTCCGAGTAACTTCATGTCATCCTTTATTTTCATAAACTGACTTCCCCCTTTTTTTCTACCCTGTATTAAGCGAGATGGGACTGATAACTGTACTTATTTCATAGGACACCTGGGAACAGGGTTATCTGTGCTGGTTCCTGAGTTAGAACGACTTTGATTCCACGCAGATGGATAGCTCTGAGTGCGTTCAGGAGAAAGGACATTTTGTTTCCTTAAGAAGCACAGAGATAGGCTGTCCCAGACTGACTGGCAACTTAGATATGATGCCAAAACTCAGGTCTATGACCCCTGCTCTGCCATCTTCATCCTTAGGGTGTGATAAGGTCCCATGGTCATGAAATGGAAAGAAAAAGCCTGCTAAAGATGATGGAACGACTACCTAGTTGAGACCAAAGAACTTATTCTCTCCAGTACTGGAACTTTTGGTCCCTGGTGTCTAATCATCAAAACCCTCTATAGAAATTGCCTGTGGCCAAAGGAAGTGGCCTCACCCAAGTCTCTGTGTATTTTCTGGGAGCATTTCACAGTCAATATCTAGCTACATTTGAGTTCAACAGCATGGACTCTGGCTTTCCATGACCAGTAACTGTCAGTAATAAAAATACTACCTCCCAGCAGGAGAGATTAACATTGAGTGGGACTCTATGTTGGCTAATAGTAATTTGGTGGCAAGTCAAACAGACCAAACTCTTCTCATTTAAAAGGGGGCAGTGATTTATCTTGACTAAAATGGATACATGAGATACATGAGCATTTCCTGGTCACAGGGACTCAGCTGGCACCACAGTTCAGGGGCTTCCAGAAGGGTCCCACTGAAAGGCAATGAGGCTGTTTATAAGTGACCATATGACCTATCAGCTCTGTCACCTTGATGCCATCACAATGCTGCATGTGCAATAGTGATGGAAGGACCCTGATAGAGGTGCAAATGGGGTACCAATCTGGAGCTGACACCCTGTGAAGACAGGGTGCTGTCCTGGGATAAACATGGCCTCCAAACCCCTGACTTATGTGAGGTTTTCCTCCAAGTAGGCAGAGCACTTGGGTTTGGTAACCTAACTGATAATGAGAAGGCTCTATTTACCTTGCCCCTTAGAAAAGTCTAGATTGTAAACGCCCAGGGGAACCCTTGGCCAGAGAGCACAATGGGAATGATTTAGACTTTAAGTTACAGGATCGTGCAATCAGCAAAGTTGGCACTTTTCAAGGGAAGCAATTGTTCCTAGCATGGTACACGGAGAGCCATAATCAAAGCAAATTCTTAGAACTCTTATTCTGTGGAATGTGATGTACCATTGAGTGACAGCTGACTGGTGGAGAGCAGGGATCCACAACGCCCGGATCATCGCATCCTTAGAACAGAATAGAATTTGGGCCTAGAAGCAGACTTGTAGTTATTTATTTTAGATATGTTGGGGGAGGGGGAGCTCAGAGACCTGTACAAGCAAACTCGTAAACAAGTTAGAAGTGGACCCGAGGCCAGAAGCCAGGTCTCCAATTTTAATTCACTATCTCTTTTCTATTGGGAACTT